AAATGACCGAAGGTGCAATAATAGACGTGCGGCTTTCAATACACGTATAATGATTAACACTTTTTTCAGCTACATTCGCGAAACGTATTTTCCTACCTTTTTGACTTATTCGTATTTATAAAGCGACATTTCATTCGTGACAAATTGCCTTTGTGTTTAAATATCAGCTGCAGCCATCTGCGAAAGAAAAATTACGTGCATACGTGAAACAACGTTATTGTAAGCGGGAATTTATGGCAATTATGCCCTGACATCCGGGTATTAAATAACATTTGATAAGAAATGAAATATGTGTCAATAGTGCAAGCACGTCACACGCCGTTCGCCGGTCGTCTGTCTTTCAAGAACCTGCACGAAAAGATGTTTTAATGGATTTTTCAACAATTCGAAAGTTACAACACAAATTTGTTTTTCTAATCTACTATTGTGATTTAATTCCGCGATTAAGGAAACAGAATTTTATAATATTCGTATCAAAATTTTATAATATTCGTCACGCAAGTTGACAATGCAAATATTCGATATTTAATAACAGTTTTACTTCCGACTGTAAATCCTGATGGAATCACTCGCAATGTAGAACCACAGATTTGTAAAAGCGTATAACGTGAGCTCGCGCTCGTGTCTCTGCGGCACACGATGTCAACAACTATGACAGTTTAACATTCCGCGACATTCTGATGACGACATCGGCAATAACCGATGCTCAGCCGATACGACAATCGGAATTCCCGCGATTCCCTCTTTCGAGGGGCACCTGCGGCGAAGGAGCGCACACCGAGCCCGAGCAAGTGGCAGGCGCGTTTTGAAATCGAGGTGCGCGCGTCAACGGTATGCGGAGGTGACCCCGAGATAACCCTCCGAGCTGTCACTCGCGCATCGCTATACCGTTTAATCCTCAGCGACGAAAATCGGAGCGAGAAAGGTCGTAAAATCGTCGCGTGCGAAAAAAATTTCATTTTCTCTTCTCGCCCCTTGACGTCGACAAAGAGTGACTCATTAAAATCGCCCGTTTTTTTGGGCCCCCGATTTTGAGACTGAACCGCGTGCCAAATGATACTTTATAATGAAACAATAATTATAGAGAAGTTTCAAGTTGAGATTAGGAATAGTTATTCTACTTGCAGCTTAAAATTTTATAAAAATACTACAAAAATCAATATAATGTAAAATAAAAGTAAAAAAGAATAATTAACATCAATCAAATTTTGTTATCAGAGAGCTGGAGGAGGGGAGGGGGATAAAATCAAGGTTCGTTATAGAATTATTACAGATCTGCGAAGTCCAGTATTTTAAGAAAGTCGATCCGGCTGATGAAAATTGATCGCAATTTACGTAAAGGACGCTCGTTTTGGATGTAAAAAGAGTCGAGTTTTCGCGTAAAGAGACGTAATAAGTGACCCCCTTCCAGCTGTAATAACAATTGTCACCTCAACCTGAAACTTCTCTGTGATTATAAATATCTCATTATAAGGTACCATTTGGTACACAATGGCAGTCCAAAAAAACGGGCGAAAAAACCTACTTTTTTTGAGCCTCTCTCTTTACAGCGGCACACTCTCTCTTACACTCTTTACAACGGCTAATAGGAGCAATCTTAGCGGGACGGCACGATAAAAAGATGTATCACTTCATACAGCGAAATTTTTTTTTTAATAAACGGACCGAACAAGGTATTTCTAGTAGAGGTGTGCGATTAGTTCAAATTCGAATCGAATCGAATCGAATCACAGTAGATTCGAAATCGAATAGTTCGAGAATTTCGAATCAACAATCATATATCTTTTTATCGCTCGATTTCGAATCGATCGCCTATTTTATTTGATTCATTTACATCTCCCGCGCGACCAATTATTCTTATCTAGTAAATAAGTATTTTTGGTATATGTATATATGTATTCATATAGATTAATAAAATATTCGAAAGCATTCTCTATTTGTGTATACACATATTATTAATATTTTCTAGCTCAAAATGTCACATAAGATTACGATCCTTTGTAATGAGATGTAAATCGAAAACAGGTCTTCAGTTTGTTTAAAACATTGCGCAAATAAATAATAAATCTTGATATTTGTTACGTTTAAATTAACATATAATGTTAATCTGGGAAAATTCGATTCAGATTTGATTTGTATTCGAATTAAAGAGGTTCGATTCGATTCGATTCGAAGTGAAAATTTCATATTCGATTCGCTTCGATTTCGAACACGTTACAAAAAATTCAATTCGATTTGATTCGATCATGCAAATGCTTGATTCGCACACCTCTAATTTCTATAGCGACAAAGTTAATTACGGCGCTCACGTGACGCTCGTAATTTCAATGGAAAAACAGCTTATTAAATCGAAGGACTTGGGAGGGGGGGGGGGGCAAGGACGTGATAAGCGGACACGATAGAATTAGTTGAGTACAGTAGAGGAGAAGAGAAGGTTTGTATAGAAAGTGCTTATTCATGACGTGATCTCAAGACTTGCCGAAGATCTCGCATTTTCCCCCTTCATTCATTTCGCGCTTCGCTATATTATAATTTGGAATTTTCCAATTATCCCGCAAATACATGCATATACTCGCGGCACGCAGTCGGTCTCGTGCTTACAAACGTAACGTAACGTGCGACGTCTTTCGCTCGGCCGTCTTTGGCCGTGAGCGCGACGAGCGAGCGAGAGAGCCGCGACCTTATTCGCGACGACAAGACACAGCGTGCCGCGTTCCCCGATCCCGTTGCATCGGCGGCACAACGCCGAGTGGCGTCGGATCGTCGTCGTCGGATACAGCAGCGCGAGGACGCGTCTCGACGAAGCGTCTCGACGCGCGTCGGGCGACACGCATCAGGGAGGCGGTATCGAAAAAGAGTCTAGACTCACTGTCAGCTGAGGGTTTCCTCAACACAAACGGCCGGATTTTTTCTCTTTCTTTCCCTCATCTTCTCTCTCTCTCTCTCTCTCTCTCTCTCTCCCCCCCCTCCTCACCCTTTTCTTTCCTTATTCTTTACCTGCAGTGTCTACCTTAGCCTTAACATCTGCGATAGTTCTTCCATTACCTATTCTTCCATCATCTAACCTCCCCGCTGCGTTTCCTTTTTACTTTTAGGGAAAAACAAAGTTTTTTTCAGTGTCCGATTTTGTACGGTCATTTTGAAAAAAAAAAAAAAGAAAAAAAAGAAAAATACAGAGCGTTTTAACATCGACTGTTCTGTCTTGCTCGCTCGCTCCATCGCGTTTCCTTCTGCGCGCGCCGTCTCGCTCGCGCCTTCCCTGCCTGGCTCCGAAAAGAATCCTCCGGTGATATGCAACAGGTTATCGAAAGGCGCCCGCCGCGGCGCGCGTTCGCCGTGGCGCACACGCAGGCAAATATGTAAATGACATTTGTGTAAACGTCCACGCGCGACACATACATATACATACGTATATACATACACACGCACGACACTCACCGTGCTCGGCGACCGTCAAGGATCCGGCCAGGAGAGCGCATAGGATAACAAACAGCAGCGGGATCCACGTCGGCTTTCGACGTCCGTTCGCGCCGTAGAAGCTGCAGCAGCACCACCGTTCCTCCTTACGCGCCATAGTTGCGTCAAAACGTTGACACACACGTCGACGACGAGGGGTTTCTATTCCGTCACGTCTCTTTCCTTCCACTTTGTGGTGGGCTTCCACGGCGAAAGCTATACCGACCAACCGCGGGCGGCGCGAGTTCCCTCCGATAGCACCACGCTCGTCGGCGAAGAGAGTACGAAGCGGAACGCGACGGAAAAACGGCGAGCGCGCGCGCGCGCGCGCGTCGTACGCTTGCGGCGGCGGCGGCAGCGGCGGCGGAAGAACGTGGAGGGACGGAGAGAGGCACAAAGGCGCGGGTGGCGAAGGGAGACAAGAGACCGGATGGAGAGGAAAGAGACCGGGGAATCGAAGGGTGACTCGAAACCCGCGAGAAAGAGAAAGAGAGTGGGAGAAGAAAGCGGAGCAAACGGAGCAGCAAAGGGAGAGAGAGAGCGATAGAGAGAGAGCCGCCGCGTGAACGAGTGAGCGGGAAGAGGATACGCTCCGCTATACGAAATTGGTCGAAAGTGTTCCGGAGGATGAAGCGCGTATAGCTCCTTTTCGGGTAGCTTTCCGCAATTCGCCCTCGCGAGAACGCGAGCGATAAAGCCGTAGACAATAAATAATTCCTTTACGGGTCGCGCGACACACTGACAGCAGACGGAGCGGGGACTACCGAGAGCGTCCGTCGAGCGAGTCTATACTGGCTCGCGAGAAGCGCGGCTCGCACTTCTTCAAACCGGTACCATCCGACGGCGGACCACGGCGACGACGACGACGGCGGCGGCGGCGGCGGCAGCGACAGCACTCGCTTGCGACGCGAACGGCATGCTCGCTCTCACTAGTCGGCTAGTCACTCGCCGCGCTCGCCGCTCGCCGCTCTCGCCAGTCTTTCTCTCTCTCTTTCTCGCCCACTCCGGTCTCTCCGGAGCGGCCTCGAGAGTATCTAGATAGTTATCTAGATGAACATGCGCTTACGCGCCAGGTAGCGCGCCAGATCGCTCGCGCGGAATCCGCACGATCCGTCTGGATTCGCGCTGTCAAATGATGATAGAAGAATTAGATGGTTCGTTCTTAGTTAGAACTCAAAAGTAAACAAATTAAAGAATAATTTAAAACTTATTAAAATGGCGAAGACGTATTAGCTGTACGAAAATAAAACTGCGATATATTAATAACGAATCGAATGTCGATCAGATAAAATGATTTTTTCCCTTTCGAAATCGGAATATATTTATAAATGCGTGCGGACGTTATTCAAAGCAGTTGTACTTCAAATTCAAATAATTAAAAAAAAAGTGACAATCATTTCCATGGCGCTACATTTTTCCTGTCGACAAGGAAGACAGCTACTGTATCGAAGCGAGGTACTACAACTCGTCATAAAAGCGAGATATTTTATTGCAATTAATTTAATTTTGTATATTTTATTAATTTATTATTTGACGACGTAAGTAACGCACAGACTATCGATTGAGACTTTCGATCATGTATTCGTCCGTGAACCGGTGTTCATAGAACAGGGAACTCGCGGAAGCAACTTTGAGCAAAGAGAAGATTTCTTCGTGGGGTGAATCGGGAGGTGAAACCGGAGATACCTTCGGGAAATCGCTCCGGAGATCCTCCAAATGGGAAGTGTCGATCAGTTGATGTTGCTTAAGAATTGCCTAAAAAATTATATATCTTCTAAAAATTTAGAGAATTAAAACATGAAACCTCTTAAAGCTTTCAAATAAAAATATCGATATAAAATTCAAATTAAAATCTGCCGCGTATTATTCCTGCATGGTATATCTATTGGTATTACATCAACACTATTTTTCTTATAAATACTCCTATTCTCTAAATTAGGGCTTTACTTTTTAATTTTACTTTTTAATTATACTTCGAATATTCGAAGCTTCGAAAAATACATTCGTGCAAATTTAATTTAAAAAATTAATAAGTTTTATTAATTTTACGATTTTAAATTTTCTATTTTTAAGATTGTTTTATTATGCTGAGGAAGATTTAATGACACCAAAACAATTATATTATATTTTTGTTCATTTATTTAAGAACAAATTTATTTTTTTTTCATTTTCTTAATTTAATTGTTTTATTGATCATTACCTTTCCTTATTTGCATATGTATCAAGTTTAATTATTAATTTGTAATATTTCAGGTTATAATACTTTCAAATTTTTTAGGAACAATCCGTATATATTTTTGAAGCATATATATATTAATACTTTTTATTAACAATTTTTGTAAATTTTCTGAATAAATACATTCGTGCAAGTGAATTTATTCAGAAAAGTCACAAATATTGTAAATAAAAAACATTAATACATATTCTCACAAAATATACGTAATTATTCCTAAAAAATTTGAAAGTATTATAACGTGAAATATTACAATTTCGAAGACACCTTAAACTTCGAAGCTTCGAAAGAATTCGAAGATTTCAATGCCGAAGCTGCGAAGTTCGAATGTCGAAGCCTTCGAAGCAAATCACCAGCTCCACTCTAAATCTTCGGATTTTTACCGTGACGTTCGTCTTATCCGAGAACGTTCGATGGCATCGCTGGGCGTCGGCGTCGCGTGGGAACGACAGAGCCTCGCGCACTTGTTGCCTCTGCTGATTTTTCTTCCGCAGCATGTACGATCTGTCGGTCGTGCGACGGATACGATCTACGTCGTCCAGCGCTTCCAGCGCCGGTGCCAGTCTGGAATCGCGGATCTTCACGAGCTCGTCCATCTCCAAGAGCTCATCCGCGTGCTTTGCCGTCGCGACCAGCTTCCTCTGGTGGTCCTCGATCAGAGTGCCCCACGAACGGTGCCACTGCACCATGTGGGCGACCAAATGCGCGTCCACGCTCACCGGTGTCACGTCGGTCTGCTCCAAATAGATGTCGAGCTCCAGCCACATCTGGCCGAGCTTCAGCCGTAGATACATGTCGACGCAGCACAGCGTTATCTGAAGAAAAATCCGAAAACACCGATCTCATTTTGGCATTACATAAAGAATTTCGTATCATTACATTCGGGCAAGTCAAACGAACAAATTCTCAGCACATTTCAATATAGGAATAGAGGTGTAAATAGAAAAAAAATCAAATTGTTTTTTTTTTTTTTTTTTCAGAAAATACGTTTTTTTAAAAAAAACATAGGCCTTGTTTTTTTCTTAAAATTTTGTTTTTTTTTCAGCTATATATTTAATATCCATATTTTGCTTAATTAATATAAGTTAATTTTTCATGTTTCTTTTATTTTATAGATAGTAGATTTAAATTATCATCATTTTAACGTAGAACGAGAAAGCCAATATATTGATTCTGAAACGCATTTTGAAGCAAGAACTTCAATGAATAATTATAATAAATTCTACTTAAGGAAAAACTGTTTAGAAAAAGAATTTAAAAAATTCTCCTTTTGTAAAAGTTAAATATAGATCACATTAAAATTAATTATATAATTACTAATTACAATTAATTAGTCGTGCTATCGGAATTAGAAAAAAAAACCAAATTTATATTTGTTCAATGAAATAAAACACGTTTTTTTCTAATGTTTTTTCTATTGAAAAAAAACGTTTTTTTACATCTCTAATTAGGAATTTGCATGCTATTTCATATTTTTCAGGTTTTTAAATATTATTATTAGTTTAACCAGAGATAATGAGGTACTTACGCGATCTCTCGTTGGTAGTCCGTCAAGTAGAATCTTGTAATGCTCCCTCGCGATTTCGTACTTGTCGCCGTCTCTCTCGATAATTTTCAAAATACTGAAAATCTTCGATCGCACCGAGCCAAACATTTCAATTATAGCGGGACTAACGTTCGCCGTAAGCTGCGAACGATAGGTGTCTGTCCACTGCTTAGTGCCCATCTGAGGATATTCAGAATCTGAAACGGCAAACGAATTCCATTGTAATTTTGAAATTTAAAAAAATTTTGCTTAATTTTTCTGTTTAATGAGTGGTCGGTAAAATCGGTAAAGTCGGTAAAATCGAGGACTCAAAAAATCTCTCATTTTTTGAGTCCTCGATTTTGAGACTAAACTGTGTGCCAAATGATACCTTACAATGAGATATTAATTATAGAGAAGTTTCGAGTTGAAGTGACAATTGTTATCAGAGCTGGAGGAGGGGGGGGATGAAATCAAAGTTCATTATGGAATTTTCACAGATCTGCGAGGTCCGGTATTTTAAGAAGGTTGATCGCAATTTTACGTAAGTGACGCTCGTTTTGGATGTAAAAAAATCGAGTTTTCGCGTAAAGAGACATAATAAGTGACCCCTCCCGCTCCCCACCAGCTGTGGTAACAATAGTCACATCAATCTGAAACTTCTCTGTAATTAATATCTCATTATAAGGTATAACGAGTACGATTTGGCACAGAGTCCAGTCCCAAAATCGAGAGCCCAAAAAAACGGGCGAGAAAACCACCTTTTTTGGGTCACTCTTTACTCCTTACTTCACATAAATAATAGAGAAAATCTCTAGATACGTATACTTCTTAAATAGAGCAAACTTATCTATTTTCCCAGTTATTGAAAATATTCCATATTTTTACGTGCAGAATTTTAATTAATTTCAGATTTCAAGGATTTAAAGAATTCGAGAAATGTTAAATTAAAGTAGATTTGTGAAAAAAAATCTCTATGAAGCTTCGACGTTTTGATTCGCGTTTGATGTTATACCTGTTATGGTGCCGTCGACGCCTCTCTTGATACCGATTCTGTCTTCCTCTTCTCGCCAAATGATCGCGAGCAAAGACATTAGACCTGTCTCCTTATCGGCACCTCTCCAGGTGCAGAGACAGGGCCCGCAAAAAGTTCTGTCGCACACGTCGGTTAATGCACCGAGATACAAACATTTCACGTGATAGCTCGCGATCTCGATGATGTCCAGCATAGAGTACAATCCGCCGCTTTTTAAGAAAACTTCAAGACTCGCAGGACATCGCACTACGCATTTCCAAACGTAAGCGCCTGTTGACAGCAGCAGTCTGTTGAAAAATAATAGAAAATTGATTTTTATTAAAGTTTGGCCCTTAATATCCTCTTAATAGCTTAATCCTTAATAATTATAATTCATTGATTGATAAACAGGGCTGGGCAAAATACACCATTAAAGTATTTAAAATACAAAATACAAAATACTAGGAATCTTGGTATTTGAATTACAAAATATAAAATACTTTCAATCTTTTGATTTGAAATACAAAATACAAAATACTTTCAATCTTTCGATTTGAAATACAAAATACAAAATACTTTTAAGTTTGTATTTGAAATACAAAATACTTCTTTGAAATA